GTATATATATATATATATATATATATATATATATATATATATATATATATATATATATATATATATATATATATATATATATATATATATATATATATATATATATATATATATATATATATATATATATATATATATATATATATATATATATATATATATATATATATATATATATATATATATATATATATATATATATATATATATATATATATATATATATATATATATATATATATATATATATATATATATATATATATATATATATATATATATATATATATATATATATATATATATATATATATATATATATATATATATATATATATATATATATATATATATATATATATATATATATATATATATATATATATATATATATATATATATATATATATATATATATATATATATATATATATATATATTTATAAAAACACATGCACGCACACTTTTTTATACTAAATCTAAAATACTTTGTAATAAAATTGTCATTTTATGTTACTATAATTATTATACAGATATGGCATTGCTTTTTGGCTAATGTTTTAACATTAAAGTGTTTATTGCTGTTATATAAAATGTTTATAAACAATATTTTCTATTATATTTTTTTTGTAAAAATGCATATTGCATTGGTTATTGCTATCATTACTGTTGTTATTATCATCATTATCGTATCTCTAAATATGTATATGTGACTTAAAAATGACACCTCCACTTCAGACATCATCGGATCAGGACATCCCTACTAATAAACTGCAAATATCATGATAACAGGCATGTAATAAGCGAAATCACGGTTAGAAATGTTACATAAACTAAAGAGTTCCCAATACAGCAGACCATAGCGTTACCAACAACACGAAGGCTGTAGGTTCGATTCCAAAGGGATTCATGAACTGATTCAACATAAAGATCTTAAACACAAGTTGTCTATTTTTCCTACAGATCTGAAACTTTGTGTCCTCAGATAATCGAAAGTGAAATGTTATCTCCAGAAAGGCCAGCATTAGAGAAAAGATGCTAGCAGATATCACCGACGTCCTTCGTTATTAGCGACTCAGCAGAAACACACACTTCTGTGGGAGCTTATAAAATCACAGACGTCACAGGAAGAAGCACTTCAGATGTTAAAACACACCGGCTGGCCAATTTTCCATGTAAATAGTTACTTCTGACAGGTTTATTTCTATAAAAACTGTTTATGTTTTACTTGTTGACAGGAAGCTGCTGCTAATGCCGACTGCAGAGAGTTTTGTCTGGAAAAAAATGCCAAGATCCGACTGATGCAATTCACAGAGATTTACAGAAACCTAAAGCACAAGATAGCCTTTTAACAGGGTCAAAAATAGACAACCGGATGGGAGTGCGAGGATGAAGGAGAGATGCTTTTGGGCTGCCAGTTTAAACATTTACAGCTTGACATGAGACAACAAGAGACTAAATATATCACACTTCTAAGTTCTGGGATGACGTCCAAAATTAACATTTGTCATCTGCCAATTGCAAAACATGTAGTCTATTCATCTCGAGTCAAAAATAAATCACACAGAGGTCACAGTTTCAGCTCAAAATCACATTACTGTAGATTATTTGCAATATAGATTTAAAAATGTGCACATTGAAACCATTTTCAGACCCCAAGATGCATTGTAATGTAAGTGAAATGGCCTAAAAAGTTTAATGTTTCCATTTTTAGCTGAAATATAAAATGCACTAATTTATTATTCAAATAAAAGGTTGTATATTTTTATTTTACAGACTTTTTG